GGGGGCAACACTGAGGGTTGCGATCCGTTGCCGGACACGGAAAAAGACAAAAAAAAAAAAAAAGAAAATGCATGATGAATTATGTAGGGGTGAAGTTTTCTGATGGCTGCAAATTTCTTTTAGAAAGTTCAGAAAAAAACAAAAAGTGTGTGTGTGTGTGTGTGTGTGTGTGTGTGTGTGTGTGTGTGTGTGTGTATAAACACAAAGAAGAAAGTATAGAAAAATGTTAACAATTGGTGAATCTAGTAGAAGCTGGAAAACATCATTCTTAGCAGAAGGGTATGAATAAGGACTTGGAAATGGTTTTTCCGAGTTTATCTTTTGGTTTTGTTTGGACTTTTGTTTAATTTTTGCCATGAATTGAGTATTTTTGTTGTTGTTGTTCATTTATTTATTTTTATTAGCTCCCACATGTAACTGAGAACATGTGGTATTTCTCTTTCTGTGCCTGGCTTGTTTCACTTAATGTAATTTTCTTTAAGTCCATCCATGTTGCTGCAAATGGCAGTATTTCATTCTTTTTTATAGCTGAGTAGTATTCCATTTTGTAAATATACCACATTTTCCTTATCCACTCGTCCAATGATGGATATTATGGCTGGTTCCAACTCTTGGCTACTGTAAATAGAGCTGCAGTAAACATGGTAGTACAGGTATCCGTTTGACATGATTATTTCCATTCCTTTGGGTATATGCCCAGCAGTGGGATAGCTGGGTCATATGGCAGTTCTATCTGTAGTTGTTTGAGGAACCTCCATATCATTTTCCATATGGCTACACCATTTTACAGTCCCACCAACAGTGTAGGAGGGTTCCCTTTTCTCTGCATCCTTGCCAGCATTTGCTGATCTCAGTCTTTTTGATAAAAGCCAGCCTAACTGGAGTGAGATGATACCTCAGTGTGGTTTTAGTTTATATTTCCCAGATGTTGCGTGATGTTGAGCATTTTTGTGTGTGTGTTGGCCGTTCTTATATCTTCCTTTGAGAAATGCCTATTCAGCTCCTTTGCCAACTTTTGAATTGGGGTTTTTTTTCACTGTTGAGTTGTTTGAGAAACTTGTATATTCTGGATATTAATCCTTTGTTGGATGCATATTTTGCAAATATTTTCTCCCACTCTGTTGGTTGCCTTTTCGCTGTTGTTTTTTTTTTTTGCTGTGCAGAAACTTTTTAGTTTGTTATAATCCCATTTGTTTGTTTTTCCTTTTGTCACCTATGCTTTTGGGGTTGTATTCATAAAGTCTATGCCCAGTCCCACTTCCTGAAGTGTTTCCCCTATGTTTTCTTTTAGGAGTTTATAGTTTCAGGATGTGTATTTAATTCTTTAATCCATTTTGAGTTGATATTGGTATATGGCGAGAGGTATTGACCTAGTTTCATTCTTCTACATATGGATGTCCAATTTTCCCAGCACCATTTATTGAAGAGGCAGTCTGTTTCCCAGTGTATGTTCTTGGTGCCTTTGTCAAAGATCAGATGTCTGTAGGTATATGAGCCTATTTCTGGGTTCTCTATTCTGTTTCATTGGTCCATGTTTCTGTTTTTATGCCAGTATCATGCTGTTTTGATTATTATAGCTTTGTATAATTTGAAGTGAGGTAGTGTTATGCCTCTGGATTTATTTATTTATTTATTTATTTGCTTAGGATTGCTTTGGCTATTCAGGGTCTTTTTTTGTTCCATATGAATGCTAGGAGTGTTTTTTCCATTTCTGTGGAATATGTCATTGGAATTTTGATGGGGATTGCATTGAATCTATAGATCACTTTGGGTAGTATGGACATTTTCACAATATTAATTCTTCCAATCCAAAAGAATGGAATATTTTCCCATTTTCTTGTGTCCTGTTTAATTTCTGTCAATAGCAATTTGTAGTTCTTGTCATAGACATGTTTCACATTCTTGTATTTTATTCCTAGGTATTTTGATTTTTTTTTGGTGACAATTGTAAATGGGCTAGTTTTCTTTATTTCTTTTTCTGCTAGTTCACTGTTAGAATATTAAAGTGCTACTGATTTTTGCATGTTGATTTTGTATCCTGCAAATTTGCTGAAATCATTTATCAACTCTAAGAGTTTTTTTGTTGTGACTTTAGGCTTCTCCATATATAGGATCATGTCATCTGCAAATAGAGACAATGACGTCTTCTTTTCTAGTCTGGACGTCTTTTATTTCCTTTTCTTCCCTGATTGCTCTGGCTAGTACTTCCAATACTATGTTGAATAGGAGTGGAAAAAATGGGCATCCTTGTCTTGTTCCACTGTTGAGAGAAGGGTGTTCACTTCCCCTACTGTTGTGGTGTTTGGGTTTATCTCTTTCTTTAGGTCTTATAGTGTTTGTTTTATATATCTGGCTGCTCCAATTTTGGGGGCATATATATTCATGATTATGTCTTCTTGCTAGATAGATCCCTTTATCATTATATAGTGGATTTCTTTGTCTCTTTTTATGGTTTTTGGTTTTAAGTCTACTTTATCTGATATAAGAATAGCTATTCCTGCTTGTTTTGGGTTTCCGTTTGCATGGTGTAACTCTTTCCATCCTTTCAGTCTTAGTCTGTGTGTACCTTTAGAGGTTAGATGAGTCTCTTGAAGACAGCATATTGTTGGGTCTGTCTTTTTAATCC